GTGAGTATTAACCTCCTTTTGCGAGTTTTTAACTTATTTGAGTCACATTGCAGAGGGATAACTTGTTCACTTTACCTTCTTTCCATCCCCGTAGGTTTCGGAAGCAAGAACTGCTTGGTTTTGTCCTCGTCATGCATGGAACGACCTTGCGCTATGTTAAGACTGGCATCTTATAACGTAAAATAACGGATTGGGAATTTCTGACTCGTACGTAGCCTTTTCATACAATTATCTGGAAGGTCTCTGATTCTACTCGATTTTGTAGTTAAGAACACTAGTGCGACAACCCGAGCACTTCAGTCGATGGATCCCATCCTGCATTACGATCCGTAGTAATTCGCATGCGCAAGTTGTTCTAATCGATCGAGGCCGGTCCTCCTTATCGGAATTGAATGACAACACAAGACCTCTTTATCATTGAATTCGCTTCCGGAAGCCTTCGGGCCATACTTTGTACACCGTATACGTACCAAAGTATATGATCCCTTTCCTCGGTGGATATATTTGGAAAACGTCGGAACGAATGTATCAGGCACAGCGCCATCTGAAGCTCACATGTTCAAACAAACGTACCGCGCATGCTGGCAACCTCTCATTTGCTCCCGCCGAACATCGATAACGAACAAAGCTCGATTCTGAAAACAAATATATACAATATGAATCTCGATCAATCTTCAACCCTAATGATCTACCATCTCTACAATCTGTCCGAGGAACGTACTGGCGCGACTTCAAAGCCAAGCTCCTTTATTAAGCTCTGCATCAAGGAGGCCATGCCAGTGCCCACTTTCCTTGCGGTTGCTTCCGTAGTGTGCTGGGCATGTTCAAGTCGGGCTGCCCTAACTTGACATCTGTGAAGATGATCAACCACGCATGATGGCTTTTTGAAGATTTTTTTACAAAAACCGCACTTTAATTTCTTAGCGTACTTTGTGACAACTTTCTTATCCTCCTCGGACAATATTATCGGGCGTCGACCTGGGACTTGACGGGGCATCCCTTGAAATTTCTCGAGGCTTCAGGGAAGGGAGGCGTCGAGCTGTTCTCCGGGACAGCTTGGGTTTTCGCCGTTGGATCCACTTCCCTCCACCGTGCTTTACGAGGCAGAGCATCGGCAATATCGGTAGAGTCCGCCTTCCTCTTCTGTCCGCGCTGCCTTCCTGTTTAAGAAACAGGATCGTTGCTCGTCAATTGAGGACGGGACAGGTTCGGGTAGTTCTCCGGGATTTGGCAGTCAGCTTGGGGAGTACAGTTGCGAACTCGTTCATGGCCATCCCCTGAAGTGAGCATCCTGTCGCTACCGTAGTTTGCGGGGATGCTGCCAGTGATATCAGGGGAGGGCGATGAGTTGATCTCTGGCGTATATGGGCCGAGGATAGCCGAGGATGAGCTTTCCGGTGAGCCGAACCGGGAACTGTCCGACCAAGTATGTTGGGAGGCAAATTGGTAAGAACACTGGCTTTCGGGTGCGTAACATGCTTGCTTCGCGATTTCGTGGATGAGGTGCAGCTGATTGCAGTAACAGCTTTCGAAGCATGTACAGTATGTGGGCGTAGTTTCATACTCGCTATGGATGCCATTCGGGAGGGATGATTCATAGCAAGCGTTAAGATTGAACGGATCTTGGGAGTATGTTGTAGTATCGGTTGTTGGGGTGACTGGCAATGCTGCCGCCAGTCCCGGGTATTCATTCCCGGCGTAATAGGTAGGCTGATTTGCCTGTCCCATGCGCCAGGATCCTATTTGAAGATCAGGGACGGTGGTACCGTAAATGGATCACAAAGCCGTTGGATATTAGTTAGACGTTCTCACAAATGACTATGTATGACTTACGGTACACCGTCCACATTAAAATTGTCGTTGTGCACGACATTCTGCCCGTACTCGGGATGATAACTGCATACGAAGTGAGAAAAAATGCTGACTCCGCAATTAAATGACTACTAACATATGAGTATTATGGGGCGGATACCAGGGATATTCCTGATACGTGGTCTCTGGGTGCAACGCCGAGGTGCTACTATTCAGTGTCTTAGAAGGCTGTGTAAATATTTTCGAAAGAAAGTAAGCTCACGACCAGTTGGAGACTGTTGCATGCATTAAACCTTCTTCAGGAGACATCGGGGTTGATAGGGGAAAATCATTGAATGTTGCAGCGGGAGCCTGAACAAGGTTGTTGCTGATAGTGCATCAATATCAAGCTTAAGCCGAAGTGGGAGCCGACACACAAATTAAAGGTAGACCATAACAACCACTGATCGTCTGTGATTGCTATAGTACTTGGACTAGGTACGTGCCTCAGGCTGTCCGCCGGCAGAAGACTGACATTGGCGTTGCTAATATTGTATCAATGTGAAGCTCAGGAACAATAATTGAGAAGTTGCATACAGATTAAAGGTAAACCCTTCAGAAGACAACCATTCCCCTTGAGATACCGGGGACGTTGGAGCAATGTGGCTGGGTTGTGTCAGACAGGTTCTGGTGGCACCCGACACAATATTCAGTTGCTCGAGACAGATGGGATCGCAATTGGACGGAATACGGGGAGTGAATCGCATCGTTGATGATGATAATGATGACGAGGGCGTCGAAAGTCGGCGTTGGTACTGATTCGAAGTAAGTGATCGAGCGAATGAGGGATTTAATCGGAGATGTACATGAGCCTCTAATATACAATCCAAATGCCGTTACTTCGGCTGCGGAGTTCCACAGAACTTACCCAGGATTGTCACAAACAACTCACGCCCTGGTTCTCGCCACGCCGTCCATTTGCATTGTGTCGTCCTCGTGGTTTCCGGCAATCCCATTCTTCCCTGATGAGGTTAGGATGCAAGCCCCAGATTATGCAGTGACAGTTAACCTCTGAGAAGATGCAGATAGGAGCAGTTGAGTCATGTTTCCCATTTCCCAGGCGAGGGCTCATTGTTGTTTATTATATTTACATTAGTGAAAAAAGGACATAACCAGTAATATTTTCACCGCAAAAACATATTATGGAATCAAGGATTTGATGAAGAAGGCATAAATCGGAGAAAAGAAACGAGACACTGACATCCTGGCTGTCAGACATTCAGGACGATGGTTCGGTAAACGCCAGCATGCCAATCAGGAATTTGACAAAGGGACTGCCGAGAAACAACGCCAGATCTTCCAGCGAAAAGATGGATACCTGGTTGAAGGCGGCGGTTTCTGATCTTCCTGACTTCGGTTGCCCATGCATCCTCCTGGAAAAACACAAAGGAATATTTGTCTTCTGTTTCTGCTTTTTCTTGGATAGAAAAGCTGGACGTCTTCTAAGTTCTAATAATATTTCTGATGGTATATTTTGGGTCTTTCACATTGCTTTCACCATGTCTTTTGGCTAGAACGACGCCCAGGAAGATAAGAAGACTCTAAATGGGCGGCCTCTCAAACTTCTTCGAGGCACCGAGTACAATTAGGGCCAACTTAACAATGAGCTGTCTTGAGCTGTGCAATCGTTGGGGAACCGACATTATGGATTCCTCCGTCGTTGAACGAATGCCGTGTCACTTGCATTGTGGTGCAGTAGTCTCGCATGGCTCGCGTTGCCTCCTGCAGGGAATCCACCCCAGCCGGATCTTGTCTCTGTTCAATCTGGTTCTCTTCTTTTTGTATTTGCCTCGTGACTCCAGTTTCGTCTTGCCCAATGGCGCCAACAACAATATAATGCGTCTAGGGTCGCCCATAAACGGTATGATAAAAGGGAACCCTTCCCATCGTCTAATGTCACAGAAAACACAAAGGAGCTCATATTGATGGAATACAATCGTCCCCTTTCATAAACAGGAGCCCAATTGGTATAATAATTACAGGCGAGTCGTTGGTGTTCTCTAAATATCAACAGCACTTAATATCCGTCAATTAGGACGGAACAATTCGAAAACAGCAGGTAAACACGTTTATTGTACAATCGGACTATTCTTCGCTGTAATGATTGGGTAGTTTAGGCGTGACCTCGGCGATGATTTCTATGCCCTGTAAGCTGTACTTACCCTGCATTCATTACTAGTACCTTAAACAACCACCCGAGTCCCAAAGTTCTCCTGCCAATAGAAAAATAGATTAGCTAGTTTGGTGAGAAATACTCCTTAGACGGTAAATCAAGATATACAATACTAATATGATAGATTCTACAACGGGGTTGGTGTATTTGCTGCATTGTGCGTAGACCGCCTTGGATTTCTCCGCCGATTTCTCCTGTCAATCATGTCAATCACACAGTTAATCTATCGCTTTCAGCAATTTAGGAGGAGTTGGCTTTATTATTGAACGAAAAAAGCAACGGTGCAGCGTGCCTATGAGGCCCGAACGCAGTTGCACTGTGGCTGAGTCAAGTTGACACCTAGTATAGCCCATTGGCGGCGATTTTCCTTTTGACCGTAGCCCATACTATCTCGGTTCCTATTCCCCTGATAACCGCATTGGAGATTTCCAGGGTACGAAGTATATCGGTAAGGCCTCGATCTAGCATCAAAGCTATGTATTATGCGTATGCAGCCATAGCAAGGCTGGAACCACGACATCGTGCTATTGTTAGCTCTTGCAGTCCACTTTACCTGAGCGAAGGCCTATAATAGAACTTACTACATAGTATCGGTTTCTAAGACCTCTAGAGTACATTTGACTGTGTTACTCATCCTTCCTTAATGCTTTGCAGGTGCAATATACCTTGTCATGGACTGGCATCAACGCGATTTTCCATTTTGAGCAGAGCGGAAGAATATCTTTTCCAGGTATTTCACAAGGAACGGTCCATATGACAGTGTCAATGGCAGTGATCCGAGGGTGGGAGCTGTGACAATAGCATGGGATCGAGGTAAGTTATCATAGCAAACTGCATACTGTACGAATTAATGATACCCCTCCTTTATTCAGTCGGAAAATAGAAGCCAATGGTCCCAATGGGCAATAAACTATTAGCTTCTGATATTTGTAGTAGAATGCTCAGGGAGACACGGAAGCCCTCTGATGCAATATCAAGCAACTTGGGGCAGTGGAAGCACGCAGGGCTCATAACCATAATGTTCCAGAATTGAAACCTGGAGTTGATATCTTTGATTATTTATCCCATAGGACTGCTTATATTAAGTGCCTTAGTCAAGTGGAACGAAACAACAAGATGGCACCTTGCTAGCTCAATCTATAGAGCATGAGACTCTTACTTCTAGTCGTTCCCTTTGCAGTTTATCATCTCAAGGTTGGGTGTTCAAGCCCCCTCTAGGGCTAATGGTTTCTTTTTTTTGCATATATGCGAATTTTCTTTCGATATGAAAGACCAAATTCTGCCTGTGAGATAGTCAGAAACACTTTTTAGTCCCAACCATGGCAATGTTGGGAAGCCGTCCCTTTTCGACTCTGGCTTTCGATATTTTGTTTCTTAATTTCAAAGAATTCCGCAAGATGAGAAGCTTCTGTAGAATTTCGTTAATAATTCTTGAATTACACGAGACCTATAGCATTGCTCTGCCTTTACTTTTTCAGCTGAGCAAATAACAAATAAAGAATGAAGAATACGGGAAGCAGATTGTTGGGAAATTGAGGCTGCAACATATACATACACAAGGACGACGGAAAGAAACGGAAGTGAATGCCCTGTGGCCGCTCATATACATAAATAAATACACATGATGACCGCCAATGGCACGGTTGAGCACTTGCCGTTTACTTCACTTTATTTCCTCCATTCCTAAGATACTTCCGATGTGTAGGTATGTCTCTCCAAACATTAACCTGTGGATCTCTGCTAACTATTCTGTAACAGAGATAGTCTGTTATATCAATAGATAGATATGTACATATATGTTATATAATGTATATAATGAATAACTAATATATATATTAGTTATATGAGCTACATCAGTGATGTAGTTATAATTAGTGTGGACACCATATGTGTCCACAGCAGCTTGTATTTAGCATGCCGGCGCATTAGGTGCCGGCATATATCTTTTTACCCATACCTGTGTACTACCAACTCAATATAACTAGAGTTCAGTTAGTATAGGTGTGAACAAGTAAGATATACCCAGTGTTATATCTTTTTTAACTTTCTCCCGAAAGTTCGGTATTCCTGGACAACATAGTTGTACGGTAGTATTTGGTATTCAACAGGCAATTACATTGCGTGGAAATACCATGGGTTAGAGCTCTCTAAAACTGAAAGTTCTGATATTTATCACACAACCCGTTGTGTGATTTGTATCTGGTATTCAATGTGCCAGGCAGCACGGCAGTACCACAGATTTTGAACTAGAAGTCAAAAACCGCTATTTATTTGTAGTTCTACAAATAAATACATAGACCACGATGAGTCACCACCGTGGTCCCAGGAGAACGCGGGCAGAAGAGCTGTCTGCGGCTGATATTGAAGACAGTGAGCCCACTACGGGGCTCACTACGGGGGATTTATCAATTTCCCCGTCTCCCTCTGTTGACCCCCAACAGAGCCCGCGAATGCTCCCCTCAGAGCATCCGGATGATCCACATGCGACTGCATATGGATCACAGATTGCACCCAGTCGGGAGCAGTCGCCTAGCAGAGGAGGCGTGTGTCCCCACACTGCTCCTCAGGGACTGAGCCCCAGCCGATTGGCTGGAGCGTCAGGGACTGCCCACTGGGGCAGTCATACCCCACCAAGAGTGGCTTCTATCACAGCCACTCAGGGACGTTATTCCCCAAGGGGAATAACCCATAGATCAGAATTGCGCAGTGACTCTGGACAGGTATCTCCTACCAGAGGAGATACCATGGAGGACTTCATTATCCGAGGTAGCGAAGTAGTAGTACTCCCACAGGAGTACTCAGAGTTTATAGCTCTGAAGGACAATGCAGAGATTGTCCTAGCCGAAGCCATGGAGGCTACGGAGCGGCTGAACATGGTGTTCAACCGAGTCAGGGCATCCATGAGTAGGATGTCCCTGAGGATGAAGGAACTGTTTTCAGTTCCTTCCAATCAAGCGTCAGGGAAAACGCTTGAGCCCGGTAATAACCGGGCACATGATAAAGCAGCTGCTCAAGCAGCTACTCAACGTATCATAGCCCAAACGGCTACGATAGATCCAGCTCCCAGTTCAGGAGCTGAGGAACGCGCGAGAACTACGCATTCTCGCGTCCCTGGTGACCGGTACTCACGGGCACCTCTCTCCCGGAATATCCCCGAGGATATTCCCCATTCTGCTCGCGGTGAGCAGGGTGAGGACTCACAGCCGAGACGTGGCCGTGAGGTGCATACAGTGTATGCGCGTGACACACCCGAAGCACGGGTGAGGGACACATCACGTGCGCAACTGGCACGTGATATACGCGTGACTGAACGCACGTGCGTGAATTCAACAGAATCCACACGACGGAGACGTGACACGTCTCCAACTAACACTCGGTGCGAGCCGGCGAGTGTCCCCATGCGCGACAGACCTAGTCTGTCAGTGAGCTGAGTGATTCAGGGAATTCCTGAATCAATTGAGCATTCTAGACGTTCAATAACAGAACCACAAAGCATTGACATGAATGCTTTGAGAGAAGAGATCAAGGCAACAATCTCTGCAACTATCAAGGATAAGTTGCGTTCGGATGCAGACAGTGTGACCACTGTCTCCCAATCTATGCAGGCACTGGACGCCAATGCCCAGTACTGGAGCGACCTTAGTAATAAGGCCGCAAGGCGTAGCCGCCAAGCACTTGAACTACAACTCAAGTTAGCGGAAGAAAAGGTTAACAACCTTTTACATGAAGAAGCACCTGAAGAGGTGCTTCTGGAAGCTGCTCGGGAAGCGCGTAGCATACGCTTCCAATTAGACCAAAGCTCACGATTGCGTGAAGCTGGTTTAATGCCTGAACAACAAGTACGGTTCAGTGTGAATACTGGAAGGAACATTACCAGTCCCTCCAGGAATTATGGGCCCAACCCCATAATTGAGCCACATATACCTCAAACTGAGGTAAATGCACAATTCAGCCAACAAAGCACTCTGGCTTTGTCTATCAATGCACA